AAAACTTAAGTTACTTCGAACATGTTCGCAATCCGGACACTGTTTTCAAATCTACAGTGCTGTTAGAGACCAGAATCGTATGAAACCATGATGCGATCCTTAGGATTATATTTTTTCTAAAATTACATTATTATTGAAACAACGCGGCTTATATGGACAGAATTTTAGTGACGTCACCATAAACAACGCGGCTAATATTAGTGACGTCATTATGTGTTAACCATTATTATTGCCAGAATAATAGGTGTTATGTTGAGACACAACAGCTTTGCTGCACCATCTGTAATTGTCGTCTCAGTTGGTGCAGGAACATAATTCTCCCAGTCAGTTATGTTGTACATTTCTAACACTTTGTCTAAAAATATGTCCCATTCAGTCGACCACATATCCATGCACGAAGCTTTCTCCTCTTCTAACAGAGTACTATATCTGAAATAGTGTAATATATTTTATATGAACACTGCAATACCGATGAAATATTTTTTTCAAAAAACGCCTTATTATATCTTATTTTAATAAGGCTGGGCTGGGCTCTGATACATAAACTAGTTCATAACCTGTGCCCTAGTTTATAACCTGCGCCCTAGTTCATAACCTGTGCCCTAGTTCATAACCTGCGCCCTAGTTTATAACCTGTGCCCCACTATATAACCTGTGCCCTAGTCCATGACATGTGCCCAAGTTTATAACCTGTGCCCTAGTTTATAACCTGTGCCCTAGTTCATAACATGTGCCCTACTTCATAACCTGCGCCCTAGTTTATAACCTGTACCCTAGTTCATAACCTGCGCCCTAGTTTATAACCTGTACCCTAGTTCATAACCTGCGCCTTAGTTTATAACCTGTGTTCTAGTTTATAACCTGTCTATCAAATGACAATTCAATGCTCTATCTCAGTACTATCACTTGTGGACTTCAACTAAGGTTTCTCCAAAGTCACATTCCTAAGATAATGAATATCAGCTTGTCACTATTCATAGCAATGCACAGCAGCTTTAGTCACCGAGCAGCATTTTTGAATATGGGATCATTACTTTCACTCTAGAAACCAATATAATTGTAAAGATTAAATGAAATTGCATATTCCTCATGACCTCCACTTATTTATTTTTGTTGTATCATAATATTATTTCTATTAAAAGAAAATAAAGAACTAAACGTTCAATTCTGAGTGAAATTGCGAAAAATTAGATAAATTTATGGATTAAAACATTTAGACAATAAAGGACTTGGATGTTAGCTGTAATGTTTTCATAACTATGCTGTCACTAATGTCTATTATGATGTAGTACTTACTTGATAGAGTCTGTTGTAAGTTGTTTCAATAATCGCAGATCAGCCTTAGCACTGGCAATTCCCATGAACATCTCATAGAAGTCATGTGACAAGGGAGTGGAACCCCAAGTGGCAGGGTCATCGGAACTAACGACGATTGGATAACCATCTGCTAGCAGAGTACTTGCTGGATGGTTTCGTAAGTCGTCAACGAGTTTCAGTACCTAAAATAACAAAGTTAACTATTACAATGTCTGACGTTTCAGTCGGGAAAAGCGCCAAATTTGATGACTCGTCTACTCAGCTTATCCTAACACTGTATAGGCCCGAGAACAGGTTGGATTTATTGTCAAGATAAAATACCGCCACATGTTTAACTTACTTGGTTGGATATGGGGTTAACTTCCAATGGTATATCGCGTTGTTTTAATTCCAATAACACTTCGGGATGTTTCGTTGCTGCGTAACCATGACCAATCCTGGATGAGTTTAACATGAGGGCGTCAATCAGATTCTCGTCTGTCTCAGTGCCTTGCCAATCTAGAATACAGGTCAAAGTTCAAAATAAAGTTCCGATTTCTCAAACAGGCTACACGAAATCACACCTACCCAGGAAAGCCACGATAGATGTATCAAATGAAAACAAACACTGAGGTACCATGCAACAAGAATTATCACTAACACGACGCTTTACCATACTTTAGAAGAATTGCCAAAACCTGTGCCCTAGTATATAAGCTATGCCCTAGTTTATAATCTGTGCCCTAGTTCATAACCAGTGCCCTAGTTTATAACATGTGCCCTAGTTCATAACCTGTGCCCTAGTTTATCACCTGTCCCGGTAAGCTGTGCCCTAGTTTATAACTTGCGCCCTAGATTATAACATGTGACCTAGTTTATAGCCTGTACCCTAGTTTATCACCTGTCCCGGTAACCTGTGCCCTAGTTCATAACATGTGACCTAGTTCATAACCTGTGCCCTAGTTTATCACCTGTCCCGGTAACCTGTGCCCTAGTTCATAACATGTGATCTAGTTTATAACTTGCGCCCTAGTTTATAACATGTGCCCCAGTTTATAGCCTGTGCCCTAGTTTATAACCTGTACCCTAGTTTATAACCTGTGCCATTGTTCATAACGTGTGCCCCAGTTTATAACCTGTGCCCTAGTTCATATCCGGTTCCCTAGTCCATGAACTGTGCCCTAGTTTGTAACCTGTGCCCTAGATTATAACATTTGCCCTAGATCATAACCTTCGCCCTAGTTTATAACCTGTGCCCTAGCTTATAACCTGCGCCCTAGTTCATAACCCGTGCCCTAGTTTATAACCTGTACGCTTGTTCATAACATGTACCCTAGTTTAAAACATGTGCCCTAGTTTATAACATGTGCCCTAGTCCATAACCTGAACCCTTGTTTATAACCTGAGTCCTTGTTTATAACCTGTGCACTAGTTCATAACCTGTGCCATGGTTTATAACCTGTGCCCTAGTTTAAAACCTGTGCCCTAGTTTATAACCTATGCTCTAGTTTAGAATCTGTACCCTAGTCTATAACCTGTGCCATGGTTTATAAGCTGTGAAATAGTTTATAACCTGTGCCCTAGTTTATAACCTGTGCCCTAGTTTATTACCTGTGCCCTA